GGACCAACATGGACAAATGAAATTACAGTGACTGACATCAAGTCAAGCCGCACTTTAACTGCACCTTCCATTTTTATTTGTGTCCCAAAGAGCTTATGGAGAATTAACTGATTATGAGCATTAATGGCCAAGACTTGCCAACATACATGAAGCAGGATACAATCACAACACACCTCCGTTTTACCTCCACAAGCCCTTGTCATTGATCAGGGAAAATTCCAGTGCTCACTTATTGACATGCATACACGTTGCTATGGTTACCAAATGATCTTGCATAATCGTATTGTTTGCTGGGACATCTGGTGGCCAGGTGGTTTTGTAAGGCATGTCAGCTTGTCTTATTGTTTTTTGTGTGGGGATTTTTTTCTTCCCCTTTCAAATTTTCCCCTCTCAGATATTTGACTTGTGGTAGATTATGCATCATAGCCTCGCCTTCACAGCAATATTTTCATTTGTTGTGGGAGAAATATTGTGGTTGCTCACTTGATAGAAGGCCATCGACAAGGGACCTTGAGAGTTCTCTGTCATTAGCTGTCTTTTCTATCTGATACCAGGTGTATCCCAGTCTCTTGATGTTTGCCTAGAGATTCAGTCGCCAGGTGTTCTTTGGCCGGCCTCTTTCCCTCTTCCCCTGAGGATTCCACGTCAAAGCTTGTCGGGTGGTGTTTGACACTGGTTTCTGTAGCGTGTGCCCGATCCTCTTCTTCTGAATCCGTCTGCTGCTGGTGGTTGTTTATTGCTGATCTTGTCCGGCTAGTGGATTTTAAGAATTCTTCTTCTTCGAGAGTTGTTGATAAAAAGTTTGCACTTCATTGATTGTGGTCTTTGTCATTCTCCAGGTGTCTGTGCCATGAAGCAGCACTGATTTTACATTGGAGATGAAGATTCTTATTTTTGTTAGCTGCTGTATCACTGCAGAGCGCCAGATGTTCTTTGGCTGTAAAAAGACTGCCCTTCACTTTCCTATTCTTGCTTTGACATCTGCATCTGTAACTCCCTGTTTGTCAGTGCCAGTAGGTAAAGTAGGACTCTACTGTGTGATTGATTCAGTCTCAAAGCAAGTGTACTTTCCTGCATCTGATGGTTGGCTGTGTGACAGTAGAGCCAAGTCATCTGCAAAATGTAGATCATCCAGCTGTGTCCACAAAGCCCGCTGGAGTCTGTATTTTCTTTGGTCAGTTGTTGTTCCCATAACCCAGTCAATGACTAATAGAAACAAGAAAATAGGAGGTAATAGGAGACCCTGTCTGACCTCGGTCTTGACCCTGAACTGGTTGGTAACCTGTCCTTCATGTTCTACAGGTTATTCCAGCATAGCTATTCTTCATAAAATCTAAGAATGGCTCAATGCTGTCTTGCACCGTTTTGCGAAGTTTCAACTTTTAGGCTATCCATTAATTATGCACCAGTTATAATATTATTAGTACCAGTTATAATCTGTTGAATATGGAGCAAAACTATATATTAAAAAAAAAAAAAAAAAAAAATCACAGTTGGCTACAAGAGCTGTTTCCATTTGACTTGCTTGATAAAATCATGGCTCAGTGAAGCAAAATGAAGAAATTATGAATAATTGATTTCCTGTTGGTGATTGTAGAGAAATTTGGAAAAAAAATGCAGCATATTGTGGAGTATCAGAATATAACAGTGTAAATGTGATTAGTATGGTCATTTAATTTTGGGGGCTTTTTACCACATTACAGGCATGACAACTCAATTTCCTCTCTGTAGCTGATGCTACCCCACCTGCCATAATCTGTAAAGTCACTGAGTCACTGGAGACCGATTACACTGTTAATGTGCACCGTGACGGATAGCAGGGATGTCTAGCAGTAGCTTTTTTTTATGGATTTACTGAAAGCAATTAAATCTACATGGCATATAAGACTTTTCAGGCAGGTGCTTGCAGTATTAGTGAACTGGGAGACCATCCATCAATCTCACCTGACAGCTATCCACCCTACTGAAGTGTACTCCAACAGGAGAGTGAGCTCTGTAGTTGACACCGAGTTTGCACTGATCTTACTGTAAGAGGGGAGAAAGGTAAATTACAATGTTGTCTGCTTAAATTCTGCTGCTCCTGTCACCTGCAGTCACGCATGCCAGTGTTAAGATGTTCAAGTGTCACACGGCAGGGTGGCAGGTCTCCGTGCTGATTTGGAACTGTTGGTGTTTTATATACAGACACCAACAGACATTTGTTTTGCTGAAGCGCGAGTGAAGCGCCGTGCGAGAGCTGTGAGAGCGGCGGTCAGGCTGTTGCCATCTAATGTCGCTTTGATTAGCCCGGATTGAGTGTTAAATGAGATGGGACAGGCACTCGGGGACTGATTAGGCCTGCCAGCCTCACTGTCTGCCTGCGTCTGATGACTCAGTGAAACTGAAGCGTTTGGATTCAAATTGAGATGAGAGTTGGGATCAGTAGATCTTCATGTAAGGTGTGCAGAGGAAACTTTGCAATCTGTACTTGCAACTACAAGCAACTGTGGTGACCGTGTTGCTTGTGCTGCTGTCACTATATATTGTGCCTAAACAATCACCAACGACTAGTGTCATATACAGAGTTAACTAGAATGGTATTCAGTAGAGCGGATATATCCGCCAAGGCCAAGCAATCCCACACGTCTCAGCTGCACCAAATTGTATGAAACAACAGCATTATTATGGCAGGTTTTTTACATCATGATCAATACATTATTTCCTTTTGAAATTGACGAAAATATCGAAAATTACAGAGACTGTCTCCAGGTTCAGGTTGCAGGACTTGTTGCGAAAGCCCTATATCGCAGTGTTTAGGAAAGTGATAAAAAATTCCTACCAAAATTTCTTAACCCGATCGACACCAAAATTAAATGGGTTCTTCCATGGCCCATCCCTCCACCAAGTTTGGTGCAAATTGGTTCAGAACTGTTTGTGTGATTCTGCTGACAAACAGACAGACATGGGTGAAAACATAACCTCCTTGGTTGAGGCACTAAATGCTACAGTAAGTAGAGACATGTATGCAGTGAAAATGACACACCCACATGTTTCTAAAAGGGCAAGTGTGGGCATTAGAGTACTAAATAGATTTTCCATGTGTACACAGGTATTGCCCCTCAGCCCTGTGAGATCCTGCTGTGATCCTTGTTATCACCCTGACTGTTCAGCCCTGGATTCCTGTTGAATTTTTGTGCTGCTTTGTTCAGATAAGAGCCTTTTATCACAAAAACTCCTCATGCACAAACCAATCTTTAGGTTGTTTCGCTGCTATTTCGTGCCATGTAGTTATGTAAGATACAACAATATACAGCAATATTCAATTATAACATCTCTCCAGTGGTGATCAGTGAAAGATAGAAAGACAGAAAGAAAGAAAAAGACATTTTTATAAATAGAGAATTTGAAACACTCCACTGGTCCTTTTTTTCTCCAACTTGGCTCTATAACAAACCACCTCCTCTCCACACTCGCTGCCTTTACTCAGAATTGCAGAGTGGGAAGAAAGAGAGAGCTCAAATTGGGAACAATGTTCCTCTTAAATGGGGAATTAAGTACAATTACAGCCCCATAACACATTTATGAACATTAAGTATCTGCAGGGGGTCCTAGCTTTGTTGATTAATACCAATATATCAACAATTACTACAACAGATACTGACATTTCTGGCTCTCCAGGACATTTTTAAAACCCACCTAATCTACACCCACGGAAACAAGACACCTCTTGTACTATCCTGTGCTCAGTAATTAAAAACAATGTAACGAGTGACTGACAAGCTGTTTCAGCCTTGGCTGGAGCCAGAAAAGCAAATAAGGTTTTATTTTTCCAGTATTCATCTTTTCACTACACAAATCGACTTGACCCACACTCTTACTAATCAGCTCGCTATTCTCCATGGGGAAATGCTATTGTTTTATACTGATGTTATTTGTGACAATTCGACACCATTATAAAACGCAATAAAACAAGATAACAGGAGGAGAATGGAAGCTGTGCCAGTTTGAGTGCAGGAGATCATTTCTACCAATGTGGTTGTCGTCGCTGACCTGAACTCCGGAGCCTTCCCTTACAACCAGAGGGAGCATAAGTCACGTTAATAAAGCCGATATGAGTAGAAAAATATTATCTCTTTAGGGAAAATTTAGTCTTGGAGTCAGTGCCAATAAAAGTGCAACAAAAAAGGCTTTAACTGACAGAGAAATGTGATCGAATACAAACAGGACCAGAATATAACACCAACGTCAGAGTAACGCTAACAGAAATCACAGTATGGTGCTCTTTAGATTTAGATGAAGTGTGAAGGGTGTGAAGGGTGTTTCAAAGTCTTGATAGATACTTGTATGATTTATATTTTGTAGAAAGCAGAGGTTTAGAAAACTTTTCAGTTTTCACCACTCTGGCTCAACCCTGCCTTTATCCACCCAGTCCCTGCTCTTTGCCTTGCAGGTGGTGAACCCACCAGGCCTTTAGTTGATAAAGGTGCCACCCCCAGACTCTGTAGCAACTGCTAAGGAATCCTTCGGTCCGCCTTCCTTTGGAGGTTTTATGGGCACAGCTGACTGGGAGGAGACCCAAGGGTAGACCGAGGACATGGCAGGGGGCCTGAGTCTTATAGCTGCTCTGGGTGCTCTTGGGATCCACCAGAGGGAATTAGTGAAGGGAAAAGGTCATTTGAGCTGTTTCCACTGGGACTCAGGATAAACAGCTCAAATACAGAGATGGTGCAGAGGTTAGAGCTGTTTTCCACAATGTACTGTTTTTGTTGTTTTCCCTTTATTTTGTTGCAGATGTAAAGGCAGATGTTATAAAGTTCAATCAACTGTCATCAAGTCTTTGAAATGTAATAACGAAATTATACTCTCTAGCTGCAGGTGATCAGTTCCCAATCAAGAGTCCATATCAGCGAGGACCATTGATAACATACTGTACATCTACTGTAACAGTTAGAAATGGTATTGGTGCATTTGTGTCAGTATCAGATCATGAGCGCTGACACTTGATGTTCCCGTCTTTGCAGACTGAGCTGCCCTGAATCCTGAAGGAGAAGTCTCCCGACAGGAGGCAAGATGGCGTCCAACAACACCCTGCGCAGCTACTCCATCATCCCATGTTTCATCTTTGTAGAGGTGAGAGACTCTGCGTGTGTGTATGTGTGTGTGTGATAATCTGCCTTCTTCTGTACAAAGTGTAAAATTCATGCATATGTGCATTTTAATCCTGGTTTAGGGATTGTACGTATGTGTGAGTGTGTCTGTGTCTGTCTGTCTCTCTCTCTCTCTCTCTCTCTCTCTCTCTCTCTCTCTCTCTCTCTCTCTCTCTCTCTCTCTCTCTGTGTCTCTCTTTCTCTCTCTCTATCTCTCTGTGTGTGTGTTTGAGTTACAATTTAACCATTAGCAAATGACCTCTTCTGCTAAATTATACAGAGTTAACCAGAGCGTAAAGTGTTGGAATGAGTAGAAAGCCAAGTGTGTGTGTGTGTGTGTGTGTGTGTGTGTGTGTGTGTGTGTGTGTGTGTGTGTGTGTGTGTGTGTGTAAAAGAGTTGTACTGCTCCTCCATACTCCTCCATATTTAATTACCATGTCAGCTGAAAGTCCTTAATCAGAGAGATGTCTCAGGACGCCTTGCATTACTCTCCTCCGTCTCTCTATCTCTTTTACACTCTCCCACTCTCTCTCTCTTTGTCTCTCTCTCTTCCTCTTCCTCTCTCCCTCACATATGCACTTCTCTAAGGAAACATCCTGCATAGGGGTCTCAGATGAGTTTACTGTCACATTCCTCTCTTCCTGCCTCTGCCTTTATCTCATGCCACCCGTGATGAGTATTACATGTTACCATGATGGTGTGTCCTCCAGGATAAGTGAATTGGTAAATGAGATAAGTGAAATGTGACGTATGTGATCACTTCCCCTTTGATTGATGACGTTCCTCCTCGCTGCTTTTGGTGCAAGGCCCCATTGGATATTATCTTATTTATTTGCCTCAGTTCTTCTGCGGTAACAATAACATTATTGTTCTGCACTTATTGATTAGTCAGATATCAGTCATTTCAATGGAGCTTTGTGTCGTTGAACAAGGAGAGACGGCAAAAATAATCTGCCACCCAGTTGATGTGATTATTTCTGTTTTAATTTTTCTGAAAAGTTTCTGTTTGCCATTGCTAGTCTTCACAGAGTTTAATACTAGATATTAGCTATACTCTGTGACTATACCTTGATTCAGTTAAAAAATACTCTAGTTAAGAATGGTACATGAGAAAGGTGCAGAACAGACTAATCAAAGGTATATGGTTTATATATGACTGTGCACTGCCACCACATTAGATCACCTATAGTCAAATAAAACTCCAATTTAACTCCCACACAGCCAGACTTTAAGTTAGACCTTGCCCTGCACAGCAGTTATTACCATAAAAAAACACATTGGATACACACACACACACACACACACACACACACACACACACACACTGCAAGCACTGTCCTCTCAGTAAAATGCTCTTCTGAATTGTGACACATAATTAATCATCACAAAGTCTGTAGAAAGTCCTTCTGTTAGACAGCCTGTCATCATTGTATAGCAATTTGCTCATTTACAGCTTTCAAGTCTTTTGGCTGGTACTCGGTGTGAAATGCTCAGCTGGACATTGCTGATCAGTAATGAGAGCTTCATGCTCAAACAACATGGTGTCAGGGGAAATTGAGGTTGGTTTGAATGTGACCTTGGACCTAAAACTTTAGCTTTCGTAACCATTCTTCTCATTTGGGATTTATATTTTCTATAATTAGAAATGTGTGTGACAGTCACAAACACTCCGACCGAAGAAATGTGAAATGTCTTTATCCGTCTATTTTAATGATCAGAAGTTTTACTCAAGAGATAGAGTTGGAAGCTACATCATGTAGTTTAGCTTATTCCCATTAGTTAGAGATGCCACTGTTACCATAGAAACATTAATCTCTTCAATGTTCCTCATTGCTGGTAGCCCAACCAGAATCAAGCAGACTAGCAAGCAACTGTTATTGGTTATTGATGAAGCTCCACCAGGATTTGTCTGTCTGATGTTTCGGGCATGAGGAAATTAAAACCATTACAGTTCCCAGTAATGGCTGTTATATTGCTTTATTACATCAGTTAGTATCACTGCTCAAGATAAAGAAAGAGAGGAAGTTGTTGACAGAGTTTTTCACAATGCTTTATTAGATTTGAAAATGGTTCCCTCTTAAAAACCATTATGTTCTCTGCCCTTGTCGCCCCTCTCATCTACTTGAATCTGTTGTCAGCTACAACACTTTTATACATCAAATTCACTTAGCTTGTGAGAGTAATACTCAGCCTGTGAAGACAGTTGTGTGATATGATGTCTCAGAGTCTCTATAGGGAATGGATGATGTCATCAGGGTTATCACAGCTCAGGCTTGAAGACTACACATTTTTGTTTTGCAGAGAGTATGTGTTACAACCTGGCGGCATATTGTTTGAAAGACGTGAGCATTTACCTGGCAGGGAGGGACTAACTAAAGATGGGTTGCATTATGGGAAATGTAGGACCCAGTGTTTTTGAGGGCCTGATTTACACTTGAGATTAAAAGTCAGGATATACTGGCCTCTGTTGCTTCGGTTGTCCCAATTATTTTTTAAATCTGTCTCTCACCAACATTATGGAAGCACAATCCTAAATTGCTGGAGTGCAGCGTAAATGAGGTTAAAATAAAGACTGTCATGATGGTATTTTTATGAAATGACACTTTATATCCCAATATGTAGACCTCACCCATGATTTTTTTGTCACATTTAGCTTGGGATCACTCATTTGCACACCAAGTTTGTAAAATGATAACATATCATCATATCATCACAATATGATACCAATGAAAGTTGATGAATTAGAATATTGAATTGTCGCCCATCCCTATTATTTGGTGTAATCTTGCTGACAACCGTATGTATAGTACATTTTCTCCATATTGCAGCAGAGCATAGGAGGAAAGCTCCTAAGAGACACTGTAATAGCCCATTGAGTGTCAAGCTTTCTTTGATTTTCATTAGTCTTTTTTCACGTGCTCCCCTTCTTCCTCACTCAGTTCTCAGAGGCATCCTGTCCATCTCCTTGTCTCACTCTGCCTGTCCCTATTTTCCCCTTTTCTCCCTCTTTGATGTCTCTGTCACATCCTCACAGCCTCATTCCTCTCTCGCCCCTCCTCTCTCTGTGGAACCTGCTTCCTCCCTCTGTCTCTCCCCTCATCTCCTCCTATGTCTCCCCTCCCACCTATTTTATCCTCCTCTGTATCACTCCATCTCAGTGCCCCTCGCTCTTTTCCTGCTCCTTTTGTTTCTTCTTCTTCTCTCTCTCTCTCTTTTTTTTTTTTTTTCTTTCTCTTACTCACCCCGCCTGTCACGAACAGAACACGGCAGAGGGACAGTGCCGTCACATGACTGAAACCCAGCGTCCTGATTGGAGCAGCTCGGCTCTGTAGTTCAGTGCCAGAGGCAGTGTGACAGGGAGGATGTTTATTTATGGTGATTTGTTTATTTAGTCATGTAACTTGTTGCGTTTCTTTCATCCGTTACTTAACCTCAAGAGCATCATTTGTTGTGGCTGTTTGCCATTACTGTGGGAGTAACTAAGAGATGGAAAACAGGGCTGTGAGATGAAAGGGGATAAAAATAAGAATAGGATGAGAGGGCTGGGAGAGAGTGCAACAGGAAGGTGGGACACATGGGAGGAGAGAAACAAAAAAGAGGAGAGAAGAAGAAGATGAGGAAGGTACAATGAAGCAGGAGGGGGAAAGGAGTGAAAGGTTTGCGAAAAGGGTGAGAGATTAATTAAAGGCAAAGTCTTTTCAGGTGTTTTGTACGAAAATGAAAACTTCCCTGTGTTCACACCAGGCTGTAAAAGAAGCAATCTCCTGACTAACCTCTGTCAGCCTCAGAGATAATTTCTTTCTTTCATCTCGCTCAATCTCCTCCACCAGTATGGTGTAATAATGTTCCAGGCTGTCATTATTTCCCCTCAGGGACCGTTTGTTTTTGATGTGGCTCCGTCTCTCTCATGGCTGCACTGACGCAATACCATCTTTTACATGGGGGATTCTAAAAGAAAAGGGGGAGGGGGGGCTTTTATCTGGGGAATCGCATGTTAAATTTAGTTTTGCAGCAGCACACGGCCCAATTAAACCTGCTAGTTTAGTTTATACAGATTAGACAGGAAACATGTCATTTAAATCATCTGAACCGTTTCATCATCATTTCATTTTTTTTTTTTTTTTGCATTGCTCGTAGTGGAAAAAATATCCAGCTGGTATGAAAATGTGAGTGGTGTTATGTCCCAAGGGATGAGGAATATTAGCTAACTAATGATAAACAGCTGTCTGCCTGAAAATACCATTAGACCCACCCATTAGTTATTGTTGCTTTCTTTTTTAAGATGCTGATTCAAATTATACCAAAAGAAGAATAAATGCTATGTAGGCTAACTTCCGCTGACCCAGGAGGTCGGGCACATTAAATCCTGTTGGTCTCCGAGTCCCAGCAGTGAAGAGTCCTCGAACAGGCAGGAAAGGAAATGGAAAATACAGTCTGGTGGCAGCTAGTATGTAGATTAGCTCTGTTGAATAAGTGCTAAGTTGCAAATTTTGGCTGCTGTCTGGTAGTAATGTATGTAGCTTAGCTCTGTTAATGACCATCTAAGTTACAGCCAGGGCTGGTATAGTCTGGAACTTGATTACAAGCCAGGTTACATATTAGGAGACGAGATAAAGAGCGACTACGGCTGATTAATGAAAAAAAGCAATTAGGATACATCTGGCAATAAATGCAGTTACTGTTAGTGGGAACAATATGACAAAAATAAACCCAGTCATGCAGGACTATGAGGTAGTTTATGTTACTTAGTGTTGCGTATGCTTCCGCATACCGAGGACATGGCAGGGGGCCTGAGTCTTATAGCTGCTCTGGGTGCTCTTGGGATCCACCAGAGGGAATTAGTGAAGGGAAAAGGTCATTTGAGCTGTTTCCACTGGGACTCAGGATAAACAGCTCAAATACAGAGATGGTGCAGAGGTTAGAGCTGTTTTCCAAAATGTACTGTTTTTGACAAATACAATGCTTTCCTCATCATCTTTGTCT